TACCACCTGTGGGGCCCCTCATAGGATTATTCAGGTAATTTAAATGGTTAAAATTTCTTATCCAAATCAAGAGCACTTAATATTATTTCTATCAGGATAAGTTGACATGAAAAATGAAATAGTTAAGTACATACAATACTTTATTTTGATTTTTATCATAAAATGTAAACTTCAGAATATCTAAACATAAATATTGGAGGAAAAAAGTGTTCAAAACTTTTTTTGGTTCACTTATATACATAAAGATGTCAATGACTCTTAACTACAAGATTAAAAATATATCTATAATGCAGTTCCAAATTGTTATGGTCTATGGATCATTACAATATAAGACCAGTGAACTCATAGTATTAAATCAACAGGATCATTTTTATACTGATGTTGACATTTGAAATAATTAATACCATACATTTTTTTCTGTCCAAAAAAAAATATTAACAAGTTCAATTTTTTAATCAATTTGAAAAAATGTATCCCTTCTTACTTATAGTGCATGTGTTCAAGTTTAATTACCTTTAAAAATCCCTTATCTGAGGATTAATACAATTATTGATCTGTTTGTTTACATGAAATATATATTACCTCACTCCAGTGTAGAAATGTGACAAACACTAATAAGTACCGGGGTAGGTTATGTAACTTGCTTGTTCTATTACCTGGAAGTGAGGAATTACAACATATTGAGCTCAACTAAACTTAGAAATTATGAAAACTTACAGGATTCTTGTTAATTAATACACATAAATATACAGTGATATATGTAATAACCATCAATTCCAAGTTTATCAGTATATGTGTTTTGACCTAGAGGCTTGACAATTTTAACCTTGAATTTAGCTTTTGAGTAAAAAAAGAGACAGGCTTTCATTTTTTTCTTTTCTTTCTATTTCCTCTTAATTTGTGCATTACCCCAATGTTTTATAGTGGATTTACAAGACAAGAAAAACTTACACATAAGTTATTTTTCTTTGTTAGGTCAATTACATGTAGCAAAACACAATGTTTTCCCCCTAATATATCATTTAACGATTTAAGAAGGAACAAGACCTTGAGCTGAAAAATTCCTGTAAATGAATTTTTTTCGTATTTTTTATATTACTAATTTAATAATATGAATGAACATTTTAAAATGATCCTGTCATGAAATTTCTTGACTTATTTAAAAGATATCACCTCACAAATATCACCTTATATACTAGGTGTTTGTACAGTTTTGATACTTTATGTTTACCGGTCCATTACGAAGTCCATATAATGCAAATTTTTATGCACAATTCATATGTTAGATAACACTTATTACTCAAATATTTCAGAATATTCATTGTTTAAATTATCTGAAAGCATTTGTTTTAATTTCAGATAGATATTTGGGATAATTTCTGCATTTTTCAAGGCAGCTTCAACAACAAAACCTCATTTTGGAAAAAATTCTGTCAATAAATATTGCTAAATTTACGATTGAATGTCATTCATTCATTGTAATTATTAACTGCATAAATATTGCAGGGTCAAACTTACCTCAATGTTGCACAAGACATCTTTGATTTAGACGTAAGCATGATAAAAACGATTCACGTTTACATTTTCCGAGTGCAGGATATCAATTGTGAGTCGTCACACGAAAACATTAACATGCACAATTATCTAAATACTAGAGAGAATAAATTTCTGCTACAAAAAAATCTGCTTCAGAAATTTATCACGATACATTGATTGTGACCTGTTTATTATGAAATAAAACTGATCATGATTGGTGTAGCTAATGTGTGTACTTGTTCTCGCTGCACTGAGAATTCAAACACTACTTCTATGACGTAACTGACGCCAGACTGCAGGGTAAAGAGAAATGGCTGTTTGAATTTGGCAGTTTCACAACATCTATAATGTTGGTAAGATCTTTAAAAATTTTATATATATATATTCTTTAAAAATAAATGTTTAACAAAGCAATTTTAGAATAAAATTACACAAGAACTGTTGATTTTAACAACGTTAACATGTACATCAGCATCGACTATGACGTAATCTGTCTTTTGAGTCATGTGGCATGTGTCCTGTCTCTCCTTAAAATCTGTTCATGTTCATTATGTTTTCTTTAATATCTCATACTAAAGCAGGAATGGTATAAATTTGTCTGAAAGCGTTTGAAGTTTTAATCAGACACAATTTGTTTTGTTCCTGTTCATGTGTTTCTGGAGTATAATACAATGATGAAGCAAGAATTATGCAGACACATTTTATATATATAAAAAATTACATAACTAATACAAATACTGAGTAGGAGAAAATTGGTTTTAGGTGAATTCAAATTCACATCAAAATGCCATATAACACGTCACACAATTCTATTTTCCTTAGAGAGGTATACAAGTTTTTCATCCCTGTCTACTTCCACATAATTCATACACATCTCGCCAATGAATCTTATCAATGCATTCATGCATTTAAAGTTATGTTTTCAAAAGTCAATCAAACACAATCAAACTTGTTAAAGGTCATGATTGATGAATCCCCGATTTATTGAACTACAGAGAGCAGACGAGTGCGCGCAAAGTCACTACTATTCATCAAATGCATGCAGTTAAACACAGATTTCTTCACTTGACCTAGACAGAGGAAAGCAATGTAAATTCTTTCATTCCCTACTAAGATTTTTAACCATACCTATATCTCTGAGTTATTTTGAGATGAATGATCACTTGTCGTCCTACAGTCCCGAATCTCCTCCGTCAACAAGTCGTCTTCTGACGTCACGTCGGTAAGTGATTGAAACGCTTTACAGCAAGGTGAAAATGTTTTAAAAAATCAAGCGTCAAAAATACATGGAAAAATAGTTTTAAACATTAACTGGAAGACCGTTGAATTTCCGGAAAGTACAAAGAAAAATAAATATAAAGTTTTAAAAAATAAAAAAAGAAAATTAAAAATCAAATTAATTTAAAAAGTAAGTAAATAAAAGAGGATTCTTTAAAAATATGAAAAAGCCACGACAACATTTCACACATCAATACAGTATCTGACTATCTGATCCTGCCACTGATTTCTGAGAAAATTTTATAGGGCAACTTGCTGTTTAAGACCAGAGAGGACATTTAATTTAAAACAAAAAGGAAGAAATATGCTGTTCTATTATTCATTTTTTCAAGTTAAAACGAAAGAACATTGTTCGCTGCAAATGTTAAATTTAGAATGCGCATCCACTTCCTTTAATTATGTGATGGTTTCATGACAATGCTAGCAAAAATCAATGTATTTACTTTAAATATGTACTCTACACAGATTGAAAATAAAAAGTAACAATACTTAAAAGGGTTGAGGTAAAACTTTCACAATATAATTTACTTGGGAAAAGAATAGAGACTTACAAAGACTAGTGAAGACTATTCAATCTTCCATGCTCAATTTTCGAAGTTCGTACTAGAAAACAATTGTTTAAAAATAGGTAAAGTGTCTTTGACAATTGATTTTTTATTATTTAATGGCATATGCTATTGAAAGAAATTTTATTTTTAAGTTGATTGATTTTACTCCCTTTGTTAAGATTACTGTAAACCAACTTTTATTAGTGTGCGAGAAATTTTCGCGAAGTTCGCGAGAGCCTCGTCATCGCGAATATTTCTCATCGCAAACCGGTCCTTAGAGTGTTATGTGTCTATAAATAACAGATCCAAAAAGGCTTGATCGCACAAATTAATCGTCGCGAACTAGTTTACCCCTGCTAAATCGCGAAATAAAGTTGTCGTGAATAAAAGTTGGTTTACAGTATACATAATGCAGGTGCCATTCACGTCTTGGATACACCGTAAACCCGCAATTTTTTATTAACATCACAACTATTGTAACATCATTATGTGTGACACGTGTGACTATACGTTATTTGTCAATTCAAAAATTTACGCTGGCAGCGAAAGGGTTAAATGGAAAAATACTTTATTTTATATGGGACTGAAAATCACATGTAACCATAAATATTTGCCAAATCATAAGAGGGAGCACAGAATGGGTATAGCTATACAAGGTCTACATGGGATGCTTGTTCCCCCATTGCACCCAATTGCTCCGAATTGATTTTCTCTGCTCCTGATTTGCTTTCATTTTTTCAATGGAATTTACTTGATTACTGTCTGTTAATTATCCACAAAGTTAAAAAAGAGAAGAAAATTAATCAAAGAAAAGGAACAAATGTTCAGATTCATATATTCATATTAATTTTCTTACATGTAATAGAGAACAGCTAGTGGGAGGGGGAACAGGAAGGGGACATCTAACAACTATATAAAAATACCAAAACGTCCAAAAGTCATTTGAAAATCACAAAAACAAAATAGTATTGGTTGAACTTAATACATGTATTCAATAAAATACATTTACATATCACAGTCATCATGATTTATACATGAACATGTATTTAATGTAAAAAGTTTTTAAAATTTTGAGTTTCAATCTACAGAACATTTAATTAGAACTTAGGGTAAACAAGCAAGTGTAAAAAAACTCCCAATTTTTTTTTTCTAAAAATTACTTTACTGCAAAAATGTAATCAATATCCCACATCGGGGATATGGATCTATGATTATTTAGTCTGAAAAAGAGAGAGTCCTCAGAATTGCAATGAACAAATTGTGCAGCATGTAAACTTTTTCGTGGTCATTTTTATTTTAAATGCCATTTTTTATTAACCCCATAAGTTGGAATTGTGGAGATGTTTACTCCTTGAAATTATGATCTATTTCATAAAGTTAGACTCTGATATCTAAAACACCACAATACTGAATACAAAAGAAAGTGAGCAGCACCTATCACACAACAAGTGAAATAATTCAACAATCAGGAAAAAATAAATACGTATACTTGTATCTGATTTACATACAAATTAAAACACTTCAAGTCAATTGGTTCCCATGTGAATAGGTTATCATACATTTCATCAACATATTTCTGCACTTCGATATATTAAAATATCATTAAAAATGAGAGTTTTAATTACCAGATATACTGAACATGTAACTGGCAAAGGTATCACTGATTCACATAATATATTATGCACAAAATGATATATATAATGCATTGAGTGTTGGCATGATTCAAAACATAAAATCTCATCACTATAAACTAAATCAAAATGACCAGGTCACATTTTTATGTCAAAAAGAGAGCAGATTACAACTGTATACATTATCAAGAATATTTTCTCTCTCCATCTGTTAGTAAGTCCCTGGATATCAACAGTCTCATTATTTCATTTGTTCCTGAAAGAGAAAAGGTGTCTTTAATTAATTTCAAACAAGCATATTTCTCATGAATAATTTCAATTACATATCAGTTGTCTGATAGATGGGACGTCAAACAAACAATGTCGACTTTTAGAAATATCTGAGAATAGCCGGGCTATGAAATAGAAATGGATTACTGATTGTACCGTAATAAGTTTGGGAGACAATTCTAGGCTTTTTAGCTTTATACAGAAAGTACGAAGTTAATGTTAAGAAAAAAACTTATTAGAAGGAAAGTGGTGCATCCCTCAGAAATCTTCCAATGAATAGCTTTTCCCCATGAACTATTGCCAGGAAGTAGATGAAAATGTTTATCAATTGAAAGCCATAAATTACCTTCTAAGATTTGGTGTACCCTAATGTCCCTGACATACTGTTGTATAGCATAGTCTTTCAGATAACCATATCCACCATGCAGTTGTAAAGCTTCATTACAAATCTAGAGAAATAAATGTTTGACAAAATTAGTACTTGGGAGGTATCTTGTTCAAATACAACAAAATAGTAATTTGATATAAACAAATGCTTGTCATAATCAATACAATTAAAATGCTTATTGCATATTGATGTTTACAAGTGTGCATATTTAAAATAGTATGAGTTAAAGAGAGAATTCTTTAACATAACCGCTTCTGGGCAAATTCAAAATTAGGTAAAATTTTCTGTATGTATAACCATATATCATGAAAAAGGACAAAAATAGTCCTGCAAACAGTATGTTTGTTTCTCCAGTTATGGTCCATACAGATAAAAAATTGTAAAGAAAAAAAATCTATTTTTACCTGTCAGGGAAGATATTTGTGATTCTTGACCATTTATGTATAAAAATTCCCCTAACAACTGTTTTAAGCTTTGTTTTCACTCCTAGTCAATTTTCAAACATGAATTCATAATTTTTAAACCAAAAACTCCATGCACTGACTATTTGTTAGTATGTTGAGTTTACTGTCAAGTTATTTTTTCCTACTGTGAAAATACTAAACATATTGGGTAAATTAAGAAAAATACATGTACAGTAAAACTAGTTTAGTACGAACACGGATATTGCGAATTCACGGTTATAGCGAAGTCATCTTGGATCCCCAGCTATATAAATTTCATGAATTTCATGAATGGTTATAACGAATTACGGATATGGTTTATTCATAGGTCCCAGCGACTTTGTTATAACCGAGTTTTGCTGTATGTGGTAAAATTAAGCAGAAAGCTGGAAAAAGTCCTGGAAACAAAAAAACCATGGAGATGGGTTTTTTTCACTTATATTGAGATGCCACCACTTGCCAATGGAGTTGCTAAATCTTAAACCTACACTTGCCACTCAGGGCCTCTGAGCAGTATGTAGTACAATTCTCAGTGAACAGTGGACTTTCAGTAAGGCCTGGCATTCTCGACATTACATATAATTTACAAAGCTTTCATTCATTGTTAAATATACATAGGATAAAAATGCGAGCGAATGTCAAGAGTGTAGCAAATATCTAATAAAAGCATCTCATAGGGTGATGAGGTGGGACTTAAATCGTCTCATTGTTGTCAACAACAATTTTAACTTCCTGATGTTATTAATTTCTTAACCAACGAGAATCTATTCGCCATATGACAGACACTAATTACGTAGCGCCAAGAATGCCAAGTCCAAGGTTAACTGAGAATTGTGCTAAGAGATCTATTTTGTGTCAGCACCTACTGATAGACAGGACTACGGTTTATAGGGTCTCATCTGAAAAACCAGTTTCCACCTCCCACAGTGAGAATTGAACCTGTGACGTTAGAATCAACTCAATATTCCTGAACTCTTCATCAAACACTTTAAACCCTGTACTTAGCAAGTAACTACAACAAGGGAGAAAAAAAAAATAAAACTTTGGTAATTATGATTTAGCAGAATCATTGTCTGTTACTTTTGAGCATTCTTCTGTAGCAAAATATTTGGCCATAGAACACAGGGAAACTTTCTCTGGCCAGTCCTCATCCAGGGCTTTGGCCGCCATTCTGACTATGTTTCTCGAGGTTACAAGCTTTGTGGCCATTTCTGCCAAAGTGAATTGGAGATGCTGAAAAAGTATTATAACTTATGCTTAAAAAAATGATTGGTAAGCTACCCCCTGCATTTTATTCAAATAAATTTGATTTGGAAAAATCTTATATTCACATTTAAATAATTTCGTAACAGACATTCAAATAAAATAAAATCCAACTACACTTACTCTACTGTTGAAAACTTGCTAATAATACTGCCTGTGTTAAGAAATTAACTCTAGATCTAACTTCATTCTTTTTTACCTGGAAACTGTCCAATGTCTTTCCAAACTGTTTTCTGACTTTGAGATGATCCCTGGCAAGTTCAAGGCTAGATTGTGCAGCCCCTAATGAGCAAGAAGCTGTAAACATACACAAATGAATTTTTTTTTAAATGCTCCAAAGTAAATAAATTGAAGTGGAAAAGTCATCATCACAAAAACTTTTTAAGATATTGTCAGATATTGTCTAAATACTGCCATGTCTAATTTCAGCTCTGAGCCTCTCTATTTTCCGTGGTACATCGATTTTCATCATCTTGTACAATTGTACAAGTTTCACAAAAGCTGAATCCCCAACCCCCAACCCCCACCCCAAAATGATATCAATAAGCACTTATTTAAGTTATTCATGTTCTTGAAATCTTCATAAAAGAGCATCGTTAACTTTCAAAAGTAAAAGAACAGGAATGAGCTGTGACTTCATCTGTCATAACTCGATTTGCTATTACCTATGTTGATCCTTCCTCCATTCAAACCTCTCATGGCAATCTTAAATCCATCCCCTAGCTCCCCTATCAGATTTGAAGCAGGTACCTCGCAATCCTCAAAAATAACAGCTCGGGTAGGTTGGGAGTTCCAGCCAACCTGAAAAAAAAGTTAAAGAAAACTTAGTCATATGTGTGAAAATTTAATTATACTGTAGAAGAAAAACACTTCTGATCTAGCTTACTATAACTGCATATGCTACACAAACCAAATATTTTTTACTTACTATAAAATTACTTTCAAATACCATAAGGAAATAATAAATATTTTGACCATGAAAAAAAAGTTAATTTTCATATTTTTAGCATTTTCAAGAGTTACCTCCCTTAACACAATGCTAAATGTTTAAAATGTAAAAATGGTAAATGTATATTCCCTTCACTTTTTTGTGAGTGGATAACAAGTTAATGGAGATTTTACGAATGTGATAGGTAAAAAGTATATATACAAGATGTTTGATGATGTACTTGATTTAGCAGAAGCTTAATTCTTACCATCAGGCATTAAGTAGAGTACACCGCCAAATCTAATACAGCTACAGTACCTTTAATACAAGGTTGAAAATGAAAATCAATACAAACCTTTTTCTCTTTTTTGCCAAAGGCTAACCCAGGAGACCCCTTTTCCACCAGCAGACAGGAGATTCCTTTAGGGCCCTGCTCCCCCGTTCTACACATGACTACATAAACATCAGTGTCCCCTCCCCCACTGATAAATGCCTAGAATCAGAGAGACTGTTCAGTGTTAAAGAGAGATACAAATAATTAAAAGATTAATCAAGATTAGATGCAAATAATCGAAAAGATATTACCATAATATTTCAATTTAATTACTTCAAAAATAGCATTGTCAGAATTTATTTTAACATGTACATATCTAAAACTAGATGCTGTCATGAGACAGTAATACCCGCACTAAGGTGTTTGCCTCTAAACACACAATCCTACGGGCGGCTTACCAAGGAAGAAGTCAAAATAATTCTATATAATTCAGGCACGTAGCATCGTTTTTGAAAGGGGGGGGGCAACCTGAGAAATTTTTTTTTACTTACCTAAAAAAATTAACAAGGAAAAAAAATGAAATGGGGGGGGGGGGGGGGGGGGGGGGGGGTAGTGGCCACCTTTTTTTCAAGGCAAAATTACTTTCACTTCCAATTTTTTTCCCATATTTCCTTGCTATGTATATACTGTGGTAAAAAGTGGGGGGGGGGGGGGGAACCATCTTTTCAATGGACATTTTCTTATAGTACAGGTAATGTTGGGAAAAAAAAGGGGGGCAGCCCCCCCCCCCCCCCCCCCCCGGTTGCTACGTGCCAGTAATTTACATGTATTCATCAAATTGAGTATGAAATTATCCCTGTGACCTATAAAACAGAACCTCTTATATTTATTTTACATGTTTAATTCATTATATACCAGTTTGAATTATATTAATAATGTAAATTATATTTTGATAAATGTTTTGCTCATATTAGGACCCTTTTAAATTTACTAACCCCCCCCCCCTCGACACCACAATCACACACAGTACATACTTTTTGGAATAGGCTAGATGGAACAGTTTTGTTAAAACATTGTTTGTTATGAATTAATTTAAAATTTGTTCTTGACATGTAAATTCTACATCACATCACGTTGCGTCACCCATTATCATATTTTTAGATTAAACTCCATTCGGTACACCTCGGCCGATTCCCACTTCATCTGATAAGGTGACGGAATCGACGGCACGAAGGTTTTCCGAATGGAATAGCATTATAACATGCTTCAGAATGGTGTGCATTGGATTAATTCATTTTGTGTTATAATTGGATTTATATTTCATGAAGTTAACAAGACCTATGGAGGTTGGTAAGTACAAGTTTAAGTATAGTGGGGGGTAAAATAAACCCAAACGATTAGGTTAAAGTTCAAAAAGGGTCAAAGATCATCGCATGCCACACTAGACGAATTTCATATTGTGAAGTTATCTCCCCTTGTCGATGTGACATTCAGTTACTGCCAATACTGGTGCGGATCCAGAATTTTTTTTCGGGAGTAGGGAGGGGGGTTCACATCTCAGGCAAAAAATTCATGCCTAGAATTTCCTGACAAGCAGGAGAAAAAAAACTCATAAACTGAAAACAAATAAACAAAATAAAAACAATGATAGTGGGGTCAATGTTTTCTAAGTTAGGGGGAGGATGTCCAAAGTCATTTTTTATTTGCTTCAGTATATAGACTTGTTTAAATAACAAAGGAAATTCCAGGGGGGGGGGGGGGGTCCAATCTCCCTACCCACTCCCTATCCCTGAAATAACAATCTATTTTGTGATTCCAATTAAATAGTATATTTTTTACCATTTGACTAATTATGTACATATTTTGTTTCTTGTGTTTATATTATGTCTGTCTATTTGTCTGCAGAAATTATAACCTTGCCCATAAGTTTTCAGTGGGATGGGCTATACAAATGGCTTCCACATTTTATAGGTTTATTTCTTGTGACAATTAAGACCTTTTATTTGGGTAACATTAATTTTTACCTCTGATCACTTGACCTAGAATACACATTTTTACAAGAAAAGTACCCAACTTTAAACTTGGCCTAAATTTTGATCAGTAGGTGCTAGGGCTTTCATGCTTAACATGTGTATTCATTGTGAACTGTCAACAGGTATAAATATGTTTGACCTTGACCGTAGAGTTTGAACCACTTAAAAAATTAACCTTGGCAATTAACTTTTGAACAGGAAGTACTAGGGATTACTTATTTCACATGTGCATTCCTTGTGACAAGACTTTTTTCAGATACCAACAATTTGAACCCTTTGACCTTGACCTTTGAGTTTGACATATATTTGAGAAACTTCAACCTTCGCCATAGGCTTCCATACAGGGACATCAGTGTTTCACAAACACATCTTGTCTTCATTATTATTTGGTGGTGTCTCCATATGAGGGAAAAATTCCCGAGAGAGATGTATTCACAACAAACAAACAAATTACTAAAGAAAATATAAAACATGAATATGTTGGTCATGCATATTCTCTGCATGAAAAATACAGCTTTTCAAATACTGCAACCATATTGTAACCCTTTCAAAACACTCATTTGAGCTTTTCTGGTTTCCTTATCATATAACGGCTGTCATGACATGTCGTCCATCTGTTTGTCTGAAAACTTTTTACATTTTTAACTTCTCTAGAACCACTGGTCCAATTTTACCCATGCAATTCATATAGAAATATGTACATTTGTATGTCAGACTGTCCTTCTGTCTGAATAAAATTAACCTTGGTCATCACGGTCATATCTACTGAATGAGAAGAGACAAGGCATTCATATTAAACTTATGTACTAGTATTTACCTGTGAGACTGGCATGGTTTTTTTTTTTTACATATGACCTAGAAGTTTGACCTACTTGCAAAAAAATTAAATTGTTATAAATTCATCATTTTGAAAGAGAAAAGTTAGGGCATTCATATTATAATGCATGTATATTATTACCTGTGATAAGATCTTTCCAAATGAATCATGACTTTTACTCTGTGACCTTGACCTTGAAGCCTAACCTACTTTTCAAAAATGTTGCATTTGCTTATAACTTTTGATTGAGATGAGATATCAAGGGCGGATTCAGGGGGGTTTGGGGGGGTTCGGGAAAACCCCCCCGCTCATTGATTTTTTTTTTTTTACAAGTGTCATTTTTTTATCATTTTGTTGCATTGATAAGAAACCCTTTGTTTGTACAACTGTGAAATTTACATCCTCTGCGTAACAGGAAATCACTTTCCGCTTGAACGCACACAATACACAGGTAATCAACAGAGACATTGCCTCTGAGATCGGGTAGTCCGTGCATCTAGTGAAATCACAAGATCACAGTACAATGTAGTCAGGTACCAACAAGTTACGGTGCTGCTCAGTAATATTCTTTTGCTGATAAAATGCATGTTTTTTTTAAACTATGAATAAACTATAATTCAGGTTTTTTTTTTACCGTTTTAAAATTAAATTAATATAATTTTTTTACAAAACCAGGTTGGCTTAGCAAACCCCTGTATTTTTGACAGATTCTCCAGTTTATGTAAATTTTTTCTTCAGTTAAGACAGTTTGAAATTTCATTAATTGTACACGTGTGTTTATATTCCAAATCATATTGACAGTATATACTCAAGTAAGTTGAAAAGCAAAAGTTAGGGATTCTGAAAAGAATTCAATTTTAAATTTTTTTAGTGTTTAAAAATTTGGTATATTAGTTGTATCTTGGAAGTCAGCTTGACATAGGACTAAATTAATTGTAGGTGCATTTAAAGTAAACTAAGACAACTTGAAGTCAACTGTTTGCATTCCAAAAAATTGTCAGATTTAACATGTTTTTAAAGCAAAGTCTAAAGTCTTGTGTTAAAGTTAAATTAAATTGAAAACAATTTATTAAAAATTTGTGATGATCGGTCTTTAAAAAACTACAAAAAATACCCCCAAGATGCTGGAAAATGCACCATTTAGAACCATTTAAAACGAAATTTTCTCGGGGGAGGCCCCCCGAACCCCCACCTATGGGAGGGGGACACCCTCTCCCATGCCCTCCCCCTTCGGCCCTTTGGGCCTCAAAACCCCCCCACATGAACTTCTGGATCCGCCACTGGATATGACTCTCACATTTGACATGTACATTAATTACTCATAAAAATTCAAGGTGTTTCCCAGCATGCGATGTTTTTTTACTCTTTAACGTTGATGTTTTACATAATTTTCAAAATATTTAACTCTCCTAAAAGATGATTAGGCTTCTGAGTAACATTAAGGAGGACTTCAGGAAAGACAGGACTTTTTGCACAAAAAACGTCATTTTTCCACCCCCATTTGACCCCCCGGGGCAAAATCAAAATATCGAAACCTAACTGCAAATCTACATGACCCCACCAACCATCTCCCAAAAGATGATTAGGCTGTTGAGTAAAATGTAAGAGGAATTCAGGGAAGACGGGGCTTTTTGCATAAAAAACATCATTTTTCGACCCCCATTTGACCCCCTGGGGCAAAATCAAAATTCCGAAACCTTACTGCACATCTACATGACACCACCAATCATCCCCCAAAAGATGATAAGGCTGCTGAGTAAAATGTAGGAGGAGTTCAGGGAAGACGGGGCTTTTTGCATAAAAAAACATCATTTTTCGACCCCCATTTGACCCCCCGGGGCAAAATCTAAATTCCGAAACCTTACTGCACATCTACCTGACACCACCAAAGATCTCCCAAAAGATGATTAGGCTACTGTGTAAAATGTAGAAGGAGATCAGGGAAGATGGGGCTTTTTGCATAAAAAACATCATTTTTCGACCCCCATTTGACCCCCTGGGGCAAAATCAAAATTCCGAAACCTTACTGCACATCTACATGACACCACCAATCATCCCCCAAAAGGTGATTAGGCTGCTGAGTAAAATGTAGAAGGAGTTCAGGGAAGACGGGACTTTTTGCATAAAAAACGTCATTTTTCGACCCCCATTTGACCCTCCGGGGCAAAATCAAAATTCTGAAACCTTACTGCACATTTACATGACACCACCAATCATCCCCCAAAAGGTGATTAGGCTGCTGAGTAAAATGTAAAAGGAGTTCAGGGAAGACGGGACTTTTTGCATAAAAAACGTCATTTTTCGACCCCCATTTGACCCCCCGGGGCAAAATCAAAATTCCGAAACCTTACTGCACATCTACATGATACCACCAACCATCTCCCAAAAGATGATTAAGCTACTGTGTAAAATGTAAGAGGAGTTCAGGGAAGACGGGACTTTTTGCATAAAAAACGTCATTTTTCGACCCCCATTTGACCCCCCGGGGCAAAATCAAAATTCCGAAACCTTACTGCACATCTACATGACACCACCAACCATCTCCCAAGAGATGATTAAGCTACTGTGTAAAATGTAAGAGGAGTTCAGGGAAGAAAAGTGTGACAGACGGACGGACGGACGGACATGAGTAACAACAATATACCCGAACTTTCTTTAGAAAGTGCGGGTATAATTATACATGTAGACATGCATAATATATAAATGTTATCAATGAGTGTAAATCATTGTAAACATTTATTTTCAAAAATCCAAAGAATGATTAAATAAATATGCATTATAGACTAAAAAAATTCATAAAATACTTCCTCTAGATATCAATTCCAAAGAGACAATTATTTCCTCATTATTCATAATACGTTATGAAATCTCTCTTGTATTATCCTCACCTTTGATCCATTGAGTATAAATTTATCTCCCTGTCTTTTAGCCGTGGTGCTGAGGTTAGCTGCATCACTCCCATGGTTAGGCTCAGTCAAGCAGTAGGAGGCAAGCTTGTCCATAGAACCAAGCTCCGGGATCCATTTCTGTTGGAGTTCTTTGTTTCCAAATTCATCAATCATCCAGGCACACATACTGTAGTAGAAAGAAAGACGTGATACTGCATTGTACAGGTATATAGATGTGCACATCACTATTGATAAGATTTCTAATCTATTGATAAGTTTTTTTCCACAATTAATGTTTTAATTGTAAAAATAGAACATCCCAGATCATCCATGCATTTCATCTGGGAAGCTAACTTATTTCCTTCAATACACTCAAATGATCAATATAATTCAAGAAGTGAATAAATAAATGCTGCATTACTTAGCATGCTGCTTAGCCATAGCTTTCAGTTATAGTTAATAAAAACCATGACACTGTGACCTACTTATGAATGCTTATATAAGCTGTGGTGCTGGCACACCCCTGAGACAATGCCTCAAATATCACTGATGCATCCATACGTCCTAACCCTGTCCCTCCATTTTCTTCTTTACAGTATATAGCTCCGAATCCCAGTTCTGCAGCCTTCTTCATTGTATCTACTGGGAATATTTCCTATAGAGCAACAAATACACATTCATTACTCTCAAGTTCAGTACAAATTGTCATTGAATAAAAATGTTAGTTTATTATTGCTATGACTTGTTTGTAAATCTCTGATTCAATGAATATTGTTGAAAGTTATGATGCATTTTCCTTCAGAGTCATACAAGATTCTTGTATAATTATATAATCATATTTTATAGCAAATACATGACCTTTTATTTCTCTGATTGAATTAAAATGCTAGTTTAATATTAAAGTTAATGTTTGTATTGTCTGACTTTTAATCAGCTCATTTATTATAGTGCAAAGTGCTGCTTGTCCCTGTGAGCTATTAAAACAATGCCTGCATGTACGTGTGAAGAGAAAATTTGGACTTTGCACATTGATCCAAATGAATTTTTCTGCAGTTATCTGTAGTCCCATAAACTTAAGTGAAATGCATCACACCACAGACTATGTTCTCGTGGTAACAAGATATTCCAAGAAAAAAATCCACTTGCCTTGATTTTAATAGATAATTTATATAGCAGATTATTAGAAAATTTAACACTTTTTTCATTTTGCACTTTTAAGACTTCAATTCTTTAATGCAACATATATACAAGTTGACACAATGTCATGTGACGTCAGAGTCTGTATGTAGCAAGTAGTACGTGCAGTCAGACAAGCCCAAACTAAATTAAACAGGTTGGGACCAATCGCCCAAATGGGATATAATAGTCCATTTGGGATATAATCTCCCAAATGGGCTATAAATTTACAGTGCAAAAATTGAAAATTTTTATTTTGGCTATAAAAATCACAAATCCGTATCAGGGCACTTAAAAAGGAATAAATTTTGGTAAGCAAGTTTTTCTGCAACCCTACCGTTTGTAAGATTGATCCCCAAGAAGTTACGGAACTTCCGAGGGATCAATCTCCTAAACAATGGACATACAGGAAAACTTGTCAACCAAAAGTTATTCCTTTTTAAGTGTCCTGATGCGGATTTATGATATTTATAGCCAAAATAAAAATTTTCAATTTTTGCACTGTAAATTTATAGCCCGTTTGGGATATTATATCCCAAACGGACTATAATAGCGAGCGCAGCGAGCATCGCGAAGCGACGCTCGCGAAGCGAGCTCAATAGACTAACGTTTAAGAACAGAGGAAATTCGGAATGAAATCTGTACATACATCAGGCAAATTTCTCTGTGAAACATTCCCAGAATTCCTGCACTACCCAATGTCCTTTGCGCGAATAAATAGATAAATAAATAAATAATAACGAAAAGCAGAAAAGGCTATCAGTTTCTAGAAATCTTTCAAATAAATAAAAAAAAAACTCTGCAATGTTTTTCGACCTAAATTGCACTAGATCTTTAGTTTCAATTAGACGCTCGGCTGTCCCCGTTAGCTCCGACGAGCTCCGTGACGTCGCGTGACGTCATAGGTAGTCGAGACGTCTTGTGTGGCTTGATGTTTGAAGTGGCTGATCAATTTTTCAAGTTTTTTTAATAGTACAACTGTGCTCGCCCCAACGGTCACACCGTAAAACATATTATCCCATTTGGGCGATTGGTCCCAACCTGTTAAAACTGTCTCTGCTCGCCCTACTTGTCGCACCATCAACATGTTACCTACTGTTAAGTCAAGCAAAAATCAGAGTTGCCTAAAATTCTGTTTAAAATACAGTAAAAGAAGGACATGCAAGATAATGTACCTCTTCATCCCATTTAGCCATGTTAGGATATAACTCATTTCTGGCAAAGTCTGTTGCAACTTTCTGTATCTGTTTTTGTTCATCTGTTAATCCTAGCGAAGCTATATTAAAAGAAATGTAAAGTTGCATTATACACAATGAAAACAAAATCTATGACATTTGTATGCACTGTCAGATTCACTGTATTTTCTTATAAAAGGCAACTTCTTGATCAGTTAACATTAAAAGTAGGCTTAAAATAGATTACGATTAACACAGCTTCCATCGACCCATATTTCTCCAATACTTCTCATAGGATTCAAACTTCTGGTCCGAGAATTACATAAAACATTTTTCAATAACAAACTTGTCCTTCTAAGAGCAGCCATGATTAACACCTTTTTTGTTCTTTTCATAGGGAGAGTTCTAAAAGGGGAAAGCACTTTGCACGAAGCTCATTTTCAATATTTATTTGTGCGTGTGTTTTTTTTTTTACAGCATGAACAAAGGTGCTATAAATGATAAAAAAATATATATACATATTTCTCTTTTTTTATATTTTCATTTAGCCCGATACATAAGAAAATATGTAGATCTATGCATCGGGCTTGAAATACCATCGGGCTTGATATCTTGAAAATAACAAACTCAAAATTTTGACGTCATTTCTTCTGCAGTAAGCCGGCCACGTCAACTTCGAGAAAAAAGACCATCTTTTCAGGTAAATTAAACCCAGTACTGATGTTTGGGGGGTGTTTTTGGACTTTTTAGATTTGATGTATTCCTTGTTTACTGTCAAAAAGCATATTTAAGACACCCATTTGGTGTTAAAGTAAAATAGCTCTAACCTATGTATCAATCAATCATCACATTCTATCAAGAGGCAGACCTACTGCAACAACCAGATAGGTAGGTATGTCAGTTGGTAGACCACCAGTCTAGATTTCAAGGGACAATAACTGGTCCATAACATTAACATAATTAATGTACAATCTAATGAGTTCATCCATGCTAAAGAAATGCATTGCATTAGGTTGATTAACAGGCTTACTATGATGACAGCGCTGATACTAAAACAAGTCCCACGGAGAAAAATAAGTCCCACATGAGTCCTACGTGAGTCCCACAGCAAAAGGGCCAATAAATACATATAATAAACTGTTATTTTGAAAAAAATATCATATCTATATGATCATATATCAAAAAAATTTTTTGATAAAATGCTTTTAATGTGTCAAATAGACGACCACAGTCAAGAACGATAACTCTGTTCAAATGTAAACAATGGCCAAGAAATATTTTGACAATGCTTGATCACCCCTGAAAGCTAACCTTTTTTCTAAAAAAAAAAAAGAAGATATTTGTAACAATACTTTTTTTTTAGTAAGGAAGTTAAATTAATATGGTGTTATTTCTGAATTTAATATATTCTTCTGTTTTACTTGAAGTTTCGTTTTAAAATATTCTTCCAACGTATATTAACGTTATATAAAACTTAAAGTACATTTTATTTTATTCTAGTATAATATTACTTTGTTTCTTACAAAATAAAATAGTTTTGGTGTGGTTTTAAGTATTTTAACAACAACTTGTTAAGTTTTCCTCACACCCATGTTTACTGAGTATATACACAGACACCTGTAGAGATACGTCCCTGGTATACCTGTACACAACACCTGGGGGATGTTATTCACACCTTTCAATCCCCCTGTTGTTTGTATACCTATTACAATAACTTTTGAACAAGGCTGGGGCTAGGTTACAACCCACCATTTTGAATACAAATAAAATATTTAATTTAATGTAGAATTATTGAAATTTCAGCTACTATTATGTATGACAAATAAGGTCATAATAAAGAAATCATTATAATAAAAAATTTTCGTATTTAATTTCATAGATAAAAACATTCTTTGAAAATTAAATTAATAAAGAATTGTGTTTTAAAATAGACTTAGTCAGCATAAACTGTATTGTAAATTCTGATTTAATTTATATGATACATCTTAAAGTACATTCTTGCAATTTGAATTGTATGAAAAAACTCAAAATAACAGTGTTATAGACACAACCATTGAAGTTTTGTATTAATTTGTAGAACATATACCACGAAAGAAGTAGCTGTTACATATATATATCCATTTTCTTTATTAAAAAAATCATCCATCATGTAAATAAAGATAAAACTATAGATTATTAAAGCCAGTAATACTCCTAGTTATGGAATTTGTCAATAAAGAGTATTTTATAATAAAATTGGAATTCTATAGTGATTTGATTGACAACATAATGTACAAAAAAAATCAAATGAACAACATATTTAGAAGTTGAATTTAATTTTGATCTTGAAGAAAAGTTTCTTTTTTAAAGAACGGATTAAAAAAGAAAGACTTCAATAGCCAAACTTTATAGTTCAATAGCCAAACTTTATAGTCCATAACTTAGGTTCTGAAATCCTGCAGTTGCGTTATTGAATGTCAGCAAATTCAAAAATTTAGTAAGCATTAAAGTAAGTAATTATTTATTATAGTGCACGTGACGTGCATTATAAGAATTGTAATTTACACCATAAACAAAAAAACAAACTAAAGCTGCAGTCTAATAAGAAGTGTTTTTCATCTTCGACAGAAGGACTTGAACAGAATTAAAACACATAATAATAAACACATTTATATTCCATAAGTTCATCATATTCATCAAATATTTTTTCAGGATACCTGAATACAAACCTGTGCATATTAGTACTAATTCTCTAATTAACTGAAAGTTTTTCACAATATAAGTATCTCTTTAAGGGATGAAAACACAGCTATCTTAGCTCGAATTCTGATTTTTGCAGTTTGATTTCTCATTTCACTTAATTGTATAAGATACATACAGTTTAATGTAATTAAAAAAAAATTAAGATTTCATTAAAATACTCGTATATCACTGTTGTCAGCTATAAATCACTTCCAATTTCATATCATGTTATGAATGAGTAAACTAGTTCACTTTCTATATCATTAAAACAAAACTTGTAGGTCTGTATAATTTCGTAGGACTGCATATTATAGTCGTAATTTTCAAAAGAAAGAATGGCTTTAGATTATTGAGCTAGTGCATTGTACATGTTGATTAAAATCTCTTTCTCATATGTTTGATAAATACAAGACTAGCACTGAAAAAACTCACCGAATTTTCCAAAGTTTTGATATTGTAAAATTGTTAAATTTTATATAAATTTTGATTGAAAATGTCTGTTTTTGGTAGAAGTTTTTTTTTACCAGTCGTTAGAACTGCTACAGAAGGCATATAAATCCTGGAACATTGTGAAAGTTTCATAAAATCTTTAAAATTAAAATTTGGATGGCTTGTTACTTCAATACTTGAGGCAGACGTAAGAGTTATTGCTCTTTGTTTATACGCGATCATTAGAAAACATCTTTGAACTTCTTGCATTTTTTAAAAACCTAATTAATATAATAATGAAATTATAATATCTATTAATATTTGTTTTCAAAAACTACTACAATGTTATCATTATTGTTGGGATTAGGAAACACTTTAGAGTTATATGAGGATATACATGTAGGAGTTATCGTTCTTTGTTTTTGTAACTAATCGATATCATTGTAGTCGGCTTCTAAAACATTTTTTTGACAAAAGTTTATTCAAAATATATCTAAACAATGATAATCTATAAAGATGTGTTGTTAAATATCAATAAAATGTCATATTTCCTGGTGGGACTCATTATTTTTCTGTGGGACTCATGTGGGACTTATTTTCCCCGTGGGACTTGTTTTAGTATGTCCCTGATGACAGTGCAACTGTTGAGAAAGTGCATTTATGTATTCATTATTGGATTCCTCTTCATTTTTAGCTTAGATCTGCCTCTTCAATCACAAAAACATTTAGAATGTCAAGAGCTTGACGTCACATGACATTTTAGGTTAAATGCATTTCTATAGCAAAAACCAAAAATCAAAGAGTGTTAAATCAACAATCTAATCTGCTCTCCATTAATAAAAGTATGGTAGTAACTTTTTTCCTATTTGAAAGCTTTTGTTGATACTGCCATGCATAGTTAGCAATGATGGGCAGTTTGCAAAAGATTATGGGTTCAGGGGATACTACAGGAAAAATATCATTTAGATCTAGCTGACAATGTGTACAGTCTAAATTCTTCTTTGCTCAGGTGTTGTTTTAAGAGCTACTGGCCAAACTGACAACTTCAATTGACAAAAATGCCCCTTTGAAATAAAAATTTGTTGTTATATATAGGTCCACAGAGATTTTGTTCATACACCTCAGCCCCATGCCTGTTACAACTGAACTCTAACCCTTTACTTTGAAATAAAGGGAAAACACTGCACATTAATATTGCCAGCAGTACTTCACATGTTTCTTTGACAATGTACAATTTTCATGTTTATAGTTAATCACATATTAAAGATGGTAAGTAATCTGGGAAAGAAATAAATGCATTTATTAGATAGCCATGATAGATGAATCAAATATGATTTGTAGATCTTCTGATATTCTTTCAATAAATTGTAAACATGGTAAATGTTTAAACAATTAGATTTTAAGTTTTGTACTTTCCACCCAATTTTATTTGCTATCATAAAAAAAATTCATCCAGCAAACCTGGTGTTGGTGTTTTGATTGGTGACAACATAGATCTGAGAATACTGCATATATAGATCAATCATCATGAAAGATACTGCATGCATATTTTATACATACGCCTAGTATTTTTAAATTGTGGTAAACTGTGCACATTGATAGACATCATAAACTTTGTCTTCATAATTTGCATTTATCATCTTCATTTTCATATTTCAACTTGATTTCTTATATCTAATTAAACACAGTAAATTTTGTTTGTTTAGTGATTTTAATGATTTTAGCATTTTTAACAGAGTAAAGCTGACAAGATGGCCACTCTGGCAGAACAGCCATGTTACACCCTGATCAACATTCCTTCAGACGCAGAGCCTCCTACTGAGCTGCAGCTTAGACAGGATCTAGGTCAGTGTATACTTTAATTTTAATGAAAAACAACCTCAGATTGAAGGAAATACATTTTGGTATTTCAAGCATGAATATCTCAAATACTATGGATGTGTCAAAGTGATTTGGAATTAGAAGTCTCGGTCACTTATTTCAGTAGTATTTAACCCTGGTAATCTCAAATCCTCAGATTTTTCAAAGTATCTGAAATTTTTTCCGCTCCCATTTAGTCTGATGTGTCAAAGTTTAATTGTATTTGTTTACAATACAAAGATGAAAGGAAAAAATGGGAGAATAATTTTTTTTATCTCTATGTAAACCAGCATCAGATAGATTCTAAATAATTTTGAAACATGCAATATAATGGAACAAAGAGTGACTAAAAAAAAATTAACATATATTATTTTTACATTTTAGAAAAAGGAGACATTAAGACCAAGACAGAAGCACTGAAAAAGACGATCCAGCAGATTCTGAATGGAGAGAAACTCCCATCTTTGTTGATGGCTATTATTAGATTTGTCATGCCGATCCAGGATCACATGATCAAGAAGTTATTACTGATCTTCTGGGAGGTGGTTCCTAAATATACACCTGACGGCAAGATGTTACACGAGATGATTCTGGTCTGCGATGCCTACAGAAAGGTTGGTATATTTTGGCTTGATTATTTTATATGGAGAAAAAGCTTATTAATATTTACTTAAAATGTTTTTTTAAAAAAAAAGAAATGTAGGTAATATACATTTGTCTTTAGTTTATTTCCAATTGACAACTGACATATAAATGGAAACACTGTTACATGTATCTGTGACTTTTGTTGATGCTTCTTGTGCATACTTCATGTGTAATAAATATTAATGAGCTCTTTGTTAAGAGGGAAATATCTGCCCTTTTCAACCAATGACTTCCACCAATGTCCATACAAGTTGTACTATAACTAAATGTGATCATTTCAATTGAACTGTTTGTAGGATTTGCAGCACCCCAATGAGTTTATCCGTGGCTCCACCCTGAGGTTCCTGTGTAAGTTAAAGGAGGCGGAGCTGTTAGAGCCCCTGATGCCCGCCATTAGACAGTGTCTGGAGCATAGACACTCCTATGTCAGAAGGAACGCTGTACTGGCTATCTACACCATCTACAGGTATTGTACTGCAAAATTATGCTAAATCACTATGAAATCACTAATTTTCGTGGGGTGATGGGGGGGGTGAGTTTTCATTCTTTTTGAGGCATGAAGAGACCCACAAATTTTTGACCAACAGGAAATTAAAAATTTTATATACATTACTGCATAACATTGTCAAACAACGGAATCAAGTCCCCACAAATGAAACCAATATTTTTCATCAAAATTTGACCCCATGGAATTATGTGATTTTATAGTACTAATTCATGCAAAGTGTTTCCTTTTTTGTTTTGTTGTCAGCTTTTCAAGGAAAATCCTAAAAAAATCTTTTAGAGCTTTAAGAATTTTTCAAAAACCATTCTCCAGTTTATAGAACTTTTAAAACATATACCGTATAAGCAGAATTTTTAGCAAGGATTTAATTTTGGCATTATTAGCGAAGGTGCTGAGATCGCTAAATTTGAATATCGCTAAAAATTAACTGTGTTTTTTGCAATGGCCTCTTAAGTGAGCTTTTCAATATCACTAAAAATACTCGTCAAAAATAAAATATCCATTTTTAAAGACAAAATTTAAAGCTAAAATTTCCACTTATATGGTATGTAGATACAGTTTTTACAAGTGGACATGTATGATAGGGTCTTTAATCTTGTTATGATATTTTGTACAGGAACCATGACTCCCTGATCCCAGATGCACCTGAACTGATTGCCAAGTTCTTGGAGGGAGAGCAGGATATGTCCTGTAAGAGAAACGCCTTCATGATGTTGATCCATGCAGATCAGGTAAGAAGAATGCCAATAGCTTAGCAATAAAAATCTTATATACGGAAGAAAAATAATCTTTGCAATGCATGTTTTATTAATTTGTAGAAAGTTAATACTAAGGTTCTATGTACATGAAGTATTGGATTTTTTGTTTTGTAGGAGAGAGCCCTGAATTACCTGAGTAGCTGTATTGACCAGGTCAACTCGTTTGGGGACATTCTACAGCTGGTTATTGTGGAGCTGATCTATAAAGCAAGTTATTCTTTAACATATCTGATAAAATAAAACCTTGAAGCTCTTTTGATTATAAATGTTTTAAGAAATATATCTTAACAGAATTATCATTTATGCATTTCTGACTCTTATGAATGGCAAGTATTTTAGTTTTTTTCCCATAGTTTCTGTAAATGTAATTAACATTTCAAAGCACAGAACACAGCATAGCATGTTAAGAAATTTTTAGTTAATTAATATTTTTAATCTTGCAGGTGTGTCACAATAACCCCTCTGAGAGAGCCCGATTTATCCGCTGTATTTACAACCTCCTGAACTCCCAGAGTCCCGCCGTACGCTACGAGGCAGCTGGTACCCTAGTCACCTTGTCTAGTGCCCCTACTGCAGTCAAGGTAAACAACTATCAATGTGTATTTTTTTTTATGATTTCAAATGGAGAACAAATTTGTTTGAATTATGCATGAAATCATGAAAAATACATGAAGTCAACATTTGTTTCTTCATTATTCAGGCTGCCGCTAGCTGTTACATTGAACTGATCATCAAAGAAAGTGATAACAATGTCAAACTGATTGTGTTGGATCGATTGATTGCCCTGAAGGAGGTACCTGCCCATGAGAAAGTCTTGCAGGTATGTTCTCTTTGTAGAAATGATTCTCTGTCAAATTCATTTTTACTTTGTAGATTGTTGTATAATTTTAAAAACAAATTAATTATTAATGGGATGTTTTTTTTTTTTTTAAACTAATGTGTATTCACCTTTTTTAGGACCTTGTGATGGATATTTTGAGAGTCCTCAGTGCCCCTGATTTAGAAGTAAGGAAAAAGACCTTGACACTTGCCCTTGACCTTGTGTCCTCAAGGAACATTGAAGAGGTAAGGTCTGCAACAAGATTATTTTGTCCAAAAATTATGTATAAATTTTCTAAGTTGAATACAGTGTTTTCTGAGCTCATGAAGAAATGAATGTTCTGATAAATGTGGTTTTTGTTTACGCAGATGGTACTGGTGCTGAAAAAAGAAGTGGTGAAGACTAACAATGTGGAACATGAGGACACAGGGAAGTACCGACAGCTGCTGGTCAGAACCCTCCATCAGTGTTGTATCAAGTTCCAAGATATTGCCACCACCATTATACCTGTGGTATGTTAGGCCTTAAAACTGGAAAATGTATTCATAATAGTGAAATATTTTGAGGTTAAAATCAGTCTTTGGATCATCTCCTAGCTGAATGCAAAAAAAAAGAAAAGGTTAACTCACAATATGCTGTTTGAAAACTGAAAACTATTATGCTTATGACAAAAGTAATGATGAAGTTTGAGATTGAAAATAATCATTAATTCATTTTCATAAGTTATTGCTAAAATAGGGGGATGGGGTTGAAGATGTGCAAAATTCAAAAAACATAATGTGCAAAGAAATTGCACAAATAAAATCACAATTCTTATACAACAGTTGATAGAGTTCCTAGGAGACCAGAATGAGCTTGCTGCTTTAGATGTGCTGGTCTTTGTTAGAGAGGCCATCCAGAGATTTGAGTCTCTGAGGGGACTGATCATCAGTAAACTACAGGAAGTCTTCCCTTCCATCAAAGCCATGAAGTAAGT